ATTTAGAGATAGAAAGATTATAAATTATACACAGACAGACAGAGAACAGAGAGAGAGAGAGAGAGAGAGAGAGAGAGAGAGAGGGAGGGGAGATAAGAAATATTTGACATGCCCTCGGCCAACTCGTCACCTCAACTCAACCCATCGACTTTTTCCGGAAGAGAAAAGAAACTGTTTCATTGAGCACGACATTGATAAATCAGCCCGTTTACAATATTCTACGGTGCATAAGAACAAGTTAATATTCCCCCTTTGGGAATGGCCTAAAGACACTTCAGTCAGTTAGTTTACTAGAAGGTTTTACGGCGCTCGCAACTGCATATTAATACGGTCAAATGAGCACCAAGGGGTGGGTGCCAACAGAGAAGTCTTTACAGGGAATCAGACTTACTCTGTTCACCTCTCTAGCTTCAACAGCACAAAGTCTAGTTCGGCTATCAAGGCATCCCGGAAAGAGCAAGTCACAAGAGTGTGACAAACATACAAAAGAAGTAGAGGAAAATGACAATAGTAAGGATTAGGAAAGAAAAAGCAACAGTTCTCTGTTGTAGATCAGGCACAGTTATGAGCGTGACATGATGAATCAGCCCTTTTACAATTCTAATGTACATGAACGAGAAATGTTCCCCCTTTGGGAAAGACCTAAAGACACTATAGTCAGTGGCACTGCCCCCCTCCCCCCGGGGCACTGCAGTCAGCAGCACTTCCCTGGGGTGGGGGTGGGGACAGCAAACCTTGGCTGGATGGCGATACAGGGGTCATTTTAGTTTTAGACAGTGTTTTACGGCACTTGCAACACAATAAGGTCATATAAGTGCCGAAGAATAGAGGCGTTACAAGATCATGAGAGTAACATACACAAAAGAGGAGGAGAGATAAGGACGATAGATGTGTGATAGGAAAGAAAAAGCAAACGACACCACAGCACCCACTAACCAACCACCTTTTGGGAATGGCCAAAACACACTTCAGTCAGTAGCACTGCCCTGGGGTGGGGGTGGGGGGGAGGCAAACCTTGGCTGGACGGCGATACAGAGGTCATCCAACAGAATAACATAACAATAATATCTACCACACAACACAATAACATAACTACAACAGAAGAAAGGAAGAAAGGAGAGTTTAACATTCATCTTCGAAAGGATCGAGCCAAGTGTGAAATTCGGGTAAAGTGCATTTCCCAAGGACACAACGTCCGACCGAGCTGAGGCTCGAACCCCCGAACCCGCATTCTCACGATTACGAGCCCGGTAGCCTAACCACTAGGCCTGACTAGGCTGTTTGTTTTAGTAGAGCTTTTACGGCGCTCGCAACTACATAAGGTCATATGAGCGCCATGAGTGGAAGCCCTAACAGTACAGGGAATCAGGCTTACTCTGCTCACCTCTCTAGCTTCAACAGCAGAAAGTCTGCTTCAACTATCAAAGCACCACGGAAATTTCAGTTCACAAGAGAATGACAAACATACAAAAGAAGTAGAGGTTTTAGCATTTTTTTTGTTTTAGTAGAGATTTTACGGCACTCGCAACTGCATAAGGTCATATGAGCGCCAAGGGGTGGATGTCAACAGAGAAGTCCTTGCAGGGAATCAGACTTACTCTGCTCACGTCTCTAGCCTCAAAGGCACAAAGTCTGTTTCGACTATCAAGGCACCCCGGAAATAGCAGTTCACAAGAGAGCTATGGTTTTAATTGATAACAATTTACAGGGTTCTCGCAGGAGCGACGGTGGACGTGCTCCTTGCTTGAGATCCTTTGCGGAGTCCACATCAGGTAGGAGAGGTAGGAGAGGCAGAAGGGGTGGGAGACACAGGAAAAGGCGAGCTGGCATCAGAAGGAGGCAGTGGAAAGTTGATGCTCGACCCACCAATGGTGGTCGCCAGATGCAAGGAGAGCCTTCTCAACCAAGAGGAGACAGACTCCCACACACTCAGCACAATAAAAGGAAAGTGTGTGCGGGGCACAGCGAAAAAAAGTTTGCTCCGAGGAGTGGTCAGGCATGTCTCAAACCAGCTCCTCATGGAGACAATTAGCAGGAAGACCCTGATGTGGACGCTGGAAAGGAGAGATGAGCAGCTATGGACATGCGCCGCCTGCTATGATTTTAGCTCTGGATCCAAGACCAAGACCAAGACCAAGAGAGTGACAAACACAAAAGAAGTAGAGGAAAAATGACTATAGTAGGCTAAGGATTAGGAAAGAAAAAGCATCAGTTCCCTGTTGCAGTTCAGGCACAGTATGAGCATGACATTGATGAATCAGCCCATTTACAATTCTACTGTTCATACGAACATGTTAACTCATTAAGGACGAAGCGGACACATATGTCGGACTGTCGCAGATGAAAAGCAAAGTTGCGGGATATTTCGAGCCATCATACAGACTAGAAACACAAGTTTTCATATTGTATTATAAATACACAATTGTTATCTATCTTTTTAAGTGCCAGATAATGGAAACAGAATTAAAAACTACGTATGAATAATAAAGTTATTATGCTTTTTAAAAAGTATTCTAGAGGCTCGTGTTTCAAGCGTTCGAAACAACAGAATGCGCCACCGCAATG